TCGACTGGTTTAGCTGTCAAATATGATCTATTATTTTGTGACGACTTATAGTATATAGGGTCATTTATATTGACAATTTTTAAATAAGTAATAATACCCCAAAACTTAAATTCATACCTAACGTATCGCCATAAAAACTATGTATAACCAGGTATAACATAGAAGCTTTTTCGTTTTAAAATTTTTTTCTTTTAAATTCGTGGATAAAAGTAAGATTTATTTTGTTTGATTAAAATGTTTTATACCCATTTCCAAATCCATTTTATATATATATATTAGAACCGAAGTAGTTATTTTTAAGCGTAATATGAACTGAAGACTAGAACAGAACAAAACAAATATTTTTATATTTTATATAAAATACTTAAGGGGCAGCCAAGCAACAAAATAAAAAAAACTAAGGAGGGTATTTTATCGTGTCAAATACTAGCAGATATTTAATCGTATACTTGATACTTCTTTCCTGTTATTTTATTTAAAAAAATATAATCATAACGCGGGAAATTTAAAATCGTATAGTACCCAACAAATTGCTATCAAACTTAAAAAAGTTGAAGATGAACATAAAAATGTTTCATGTGTAGATTCGTACTGCTATATTTCTATTGTATTTATTTATGAAGTAATGTAACTTCATAAGACTTGACTTTAGGTAGCTACGTTACACAAATTGTTGATATTTCCCATTGCTAATTAAATTTTATTTAAAGACCTGTTTTAAATACAGTTTTATTTTTGTCTGTTGTATAGATTAGAAGTGTTTATATAGTCAACCGCGATAAAAGCATCAACACTGAAAATTTTGCCAAAAATATTATAAAAATGCTATGCTTAGATCATTGCCTTTCTCGGAGAACTGTTGTATAATGTGTTTATCCTGCCCAAGTTAAGGCAACAGTTGTCAAAAGTAAGGTAACATTGAAAAGACGAAATCACCCCATATACGCGTTTTCCCCGGCTCTCCAAGTACCTACAAGTTGTGTAGACTCAATCGTGTTTAAAAGGGTGACATGCATAAAATATAAATTTGTTGGGTAATTTACTGCCCCTGAATTTTATTATCTTTGACATTAGTTTCACTCCGTAAACAGTATACGAGTTTTTCTACATAAAATTATGTTTACAGTAGGTACGTAGTGTCCATAATGAGGGCGTCGGTAATGACACCCTTTTACGATTACGGCACGCTTTGTGTCGTAACATGTGACTGACAATTTAGTCTACATCACAGCTATTCTATCACCCCATTAATGGAATATTGACTACCTGTATATTATGATGGATAATTTGAATTTTTTCATCGATTTGTGTGGATAAGACTTGGTGACATTTTTACTATTGCTCCTTCCATTTGACTTTTGTAATTATCACTGAATTGTAGTAGGTATGATTTGTGGCTATCAGCGCAAAAGTGGTGTAAATCCATATTAAATTTTTTTCTACACTTTTACTTCAAATGATGTGAAACTAAAGTACTATCACATATTTAAAAAAAATATTATGTATTTAAAAAGAAAAAAAAATATGTTTATTTATATTTAATGTACATAATTACTTTTTTATGCATGAAAATAGCGTGCAAATATATGATAATTATGTACTTAGTATCATTTAAAGTAATATTGTAAAATAAAATTAAATGTGGGTTACACCACGTTTCGCTGATAACCAATTACCTTGATATTGGCTAATGTAATAAAATTTTCATTATCTATGGGCATAGCAGACTGAACTTAAAAAGAAAACAAATTGCCTCTTCCATTTAGGATTAATGCAATCGGTCGGGTCGGAAAGGCAGAGGACATTAAATTTAGCAAAGTATATTTTATGCTATTTCAATTTCAATATGTATACATTGCCATGCTTTTTTTCATTCTTGAGACCGAGCTCGGAACATCGCGGCGCATTTCTCTCTGCGTCTCAGAGCATTGCAGATCTTTTTTATATAATGCACACACTCAACATAGCCCTGCACTAGGGAAACCTTGTATCGCGGGTGCCATGGACACACACATAGACAACCTCAAATTACACACAGTTCACGAGAGAAATATATGTTGGCCATACAAATATTTCTCCCGGCCCGGGAATCGAACCTGGGACCTCTGTGTGGCAGTCCAGCATGGTAACCGTTCGGGCAGGGAGGCTGTTAAAAGTAGTGACATTTTTGTGTGTGGTACTATTTAAGTAGCTACGGCCCATGAATGGGTTATACATAAAAAAGTTATCGATTACGTTTGTAGATTTTTAAACCCCTTTTCTGAAAAGTTGTCATTTTGGAGATGTGGCCTTATTACACCACGTATCAGAGTTTTTTTATAATACCAAGTGATAGGACGAACAAGTAGTGCGCCTGGTGGTAAGTGACACGCCTGTCCATAACAGTAGCGTTGCCTCTCAGTGCTTTGAATCACAAACCTATACGGACATTTTCGCTGCGCCCGTCTCCCTGAGATATAAATTGACAAGTCCCATCTGCCTGTAATTTCACCAGCACACTTACCCTTCAAACCCGTAACGCAGTAACGCTCACGTTACTGCTTAGCAGCAGTAACAGGTAAGGTGGCAGTGTTGACCAACTCTGGACGAACTCTTTCTTATGGAGCTCTACCGTTGCTACGAGTTATTGGAATATTTTAGTTGACGACTTTTTTTAATCATCTGGTGAACACAATAGAAAAAAGTAAGCCTTCAGACTTAGTAACACACTGTTATCCACACTTTACGTTGGTCAGATAAGAATATCCATGTTATTTCTAACGTCCATTAATGATGTCGTGCATCATTTGTCCACACCGCCTCGCACCACACCGCGGCGCGATGTCACGGCGACCACGCGGCCCGCCCGACCGCCTGGTCAAGTCACCTTAGAATCTCCAGCTTTGGTCCAGTGGTCAAAGTAGGGCTTTGAGATCTGTCGTAATCACCTAGTAACTCTAACATGCTATAGATGGGATGGAGAATATCATCTCGTCGATTTGCAATGACACCTTTTGTGAAGCCATTTATGATAATCCTTTATCAGGTAAGTGTTCTCGTACTGGATGCAATTTGACTATACTAAGATTCTATAGTCTATATAAGGACTATTAAGATCCTATCTAGGTTAGGGAGACTCGGTGGCTTATATAGGCTTTTCTCCTAGTTAAGTAACCCAGAATCTTTACGAATGAATTTTTTATTATAATCAACGTATTATGCGTGCGATTGCTGAATTCTCCAATAATAAGAAGCCTTGAGACATAGTCTGCCAGTCTGCAATGCGGGTTGGGGACTTGACACATTTTCCAAGAGTTGGCAATTTTTTCGCGTCGTTCAGGTTTCTTCACGATGTTTTTTCCCTCACCGTTAGAGGTATTCTACTAAACATTCTTAGAATTACGTGTCTCCACCTATGGTGTTTGATGTCTATGATTAAAATGCCTACATTTTAATCATAGACATCTGAAATGAGAAGTATTCTCCCACTGGGCGTTTGTATGTTAAGAACTATTTCGAAAAAACGATTTCAAAAACATTCAAGAAAACTTTTTGTTGTTATTTTTAACAAAATCTACTGCCGATACTAATTTTCATTACCTCATTTGACTTTTATGTTCGCTAATTTATAATAACCTTGTATGTGTATATATTCCAATGAAAATGTATTGTATAAATATTTACTAAAATTATATGGATACTGTCATTATTACATATTTTTGACAACAACATAAAGTATTTATTTTTGAAATATTACATAACACCTATATTCGAAAATGTGTGAACCTTTACATTTCATTGCACGCAACTATGCTTTATATTTATTTTTTTTATGGAATTTTCTACTATATTTTGAATAGGTACGGTACTGCTTTCAAGTGAAAAATGCGACACGGTCTGTATATGTATAAGACGACGTAAATTAAAATTGTTATTGTGTACTACCCTACTAATGTTTCGGACCCTTTAAGGCCACGTCTCTACAAAGTGACAGTTTATCAGGGGAGAGGTTTAGTCTAAGTACTCTACGAACGAAATTGTTGGTATTTTTTTTATGATTAAATAGGAGAGTTATACAATTTTACATACATAATTTGTTTCATGTAGTTGGTATTATTTTTATGATTTTCGTGTGAAAACGCACTTTTGACATAATATCATCATTCATCATTCTGTGACTTTATTACATCAAGGGTACAATTTACTAACGGTGGTTACCCTTAACCGTCAATATAGCAGAAGTTGTACGACTACTTTTGAATATTACGAAACATGAAAGTAATATTATTTTATTATAATGTTATTAATTTATTATTTAATATTTAAAGAAATAGGCTCAATTTATATTGCGGCGGAATGAAAGCGAATTTTTGTAGCGATATTGTACATAGCATAATGAACTTTATGGTTAAAAGTGTAACGCGCAAACTAGATACGAGCCAAAATCTTCCGCGGAATTCTCACTCATGCTCCAGAAAATTTATTCCATTTCGTTCCTCCGAAATAAATTGAGCCATAATCTTTGGATGGTGTAGTGCTATGTGGTCGAACACACAACAAAAGTGTCTAAACATCAAGGTATATTTTAAAAATAATTCAGTAGTACCCATTACCCTATTAAGTGAAATAAAAATATCTAAATAAGTTTATTAAATTATTTATCTAGTTATTTATTTTTTAAATTATGAAATTGACCAGAAAAACCACTGGTGTTAAATATAATTAAAAAGCCTCATTTTCAGTAATTGGCAAAAACGGGCTTAATCTCTCGACTCTTTTTTCCTTAGTTTAGACTTGGACTCTGCAGTGAGAGGTTAAATTATGCGTTGAGAACATCCTAGTTCGTTCTTTTCAGGGAAATCTTTTGACGAATTTGAACTGTAATTTGAACATTTGAATAATGAGATTTATGTGACTAGATTTGTGGACCATATAATTTGTGATATAACTTGTTTTTAAAGAAATTATACCTAACATGTTATGTTCTTAGATTCGCTAGTATCGAAAAAACAATTATACCTCCAGGAATTGGCCCGTGAAATAAATGGGAAGCATTTGAAGATTGCAACATTTGACGTAAGTAGGTATAACAAATAATCACGCCAGTCAATACAATACAAATTTATTCATTTATTCATTACATAACACATTTATCATTACAGAAAGATTACAGATATATATCCAAATCGATAATGTCAAATCACATCATTATTAAAATTAATTAATTAATTACTAAATTCATTTCATTCAAATAATAAAAAATAAATAAAAAATTTCAATTTCAATTTCTTATACCTATTTCTTATATATAGTGTCAAATACTCGTTCTTGCCCACAAAAACAAACAAATAGGCACAAAAACAAACAAAAAAGACACACGTTAAACTGATTTAGTAGTAAAAAAGAATTTGCTACATTTCCTGTGCTCTTGCAGCCTTGTACTATTAGGTGTAAGATTTATTAAAACCGTGTATCGTCGTCTTAGAGTGAATACCTCGTATGTGATTTCTATGTAATGTTTTCAGGACGAATATAAAAATGTGGTGTGAAATGTATTACTACACTTTTGCGCTTACACGCAATGTTTGTTTTAAGCATTTTAATTAATTAAATTATACCATTTCGTATACAATATTACTTTAATAATATATTTGAGCAAGAAGTTTGTAAGTTTTTTTCCAACAAACATCAGTAAAAACGAACTACGTGAAAACTCGTATGCGAGGTTTTAAGGCGACGGTATGCACTCTTATGTGATATCTATCTATCTAAAAAAACATGTTATGCGAGCAAATGTATAATATACCATCATTATGTTTGTATGCCTAATATTTGACCTGGCAAAGTGAAATAATAGTTATTTTGTTAGGAACATGTTTCACAAATAAATGAATTGTTGAACTCATTTGTCGAATTCAATTGTATAAAACTAAGTATCTAATGTCCTACAGAACCATCCGTCGAGTTGGGTAGAACGACATGATAATGGCACCATAAGCGGAGGCGGAGTGGCTTTCATGATTGTTGAAGTGCTACGGGAGAGATTTAACTTCACATATGAGGTCGTGGTTCCGGAAAAGAATTTCGAAATCGGAGGAAGCAAGCCCGAAGATTCGATTATCGGACTTGTTAATAGTAGCGTGAGTGTTTCTTTGTTTACTGTTTTTTTTATGTTACTCCCAAGCCATTTCCTCTTTTTGCTTGTTTGCCTTTTTTAAGATGGCGCCAGTGTCATTTTAGTACAAAAACGATATAAAAATTGTGGTAATCGACGCCAATCTCTGTTGTAACAATTTTGTATCCGTGTAAGTTTCTCGAACCTTCGATAATAATATCAACGTCATCATAAAACTAAAATTTTTGGGAAACTGACAAAATTAATAAAAAAATAACGTATCGCAGTAAAACGTATTATTTATTTCTTATAGATAGCCTATAGAGCCATCAGCTTAAACAGGTAACAAATAATTAAGAAACACAAAACATAGGTACGTACTTGACCTAAAAATTTAATTTATGTAAAAACTGTAACTATAAAAACCCGCCATTTTGTTCTTTTGCAAAATAATACGCATTTACATCGTTTTAGGTTTTCCCGGTGCCAAAAAGAATTCTGTATTCGTAATATGACATACCAAATAGCATACCTATATGCTTAAACTATTCCTTTATTTTTTTCCATTCTTTAAGCACGTATGGGAGGTGTCACGTACCTAATTTTTTATCTCTGTTTCGTCAAATTAAAGTTTATTAAGATAGAATAGAAGTGGCCAAGTACCGCTTCTATTTTAACCTATCATTTTTTTAAACATTTTGTAAAGGTTCATGGCCCGAATTTTCGAAAGTTATTTAAATAAACTTTATTCTTACTTTGCGTTCCTACGACTATAAAATAATTGTTACACTTACTTAATATGCAATTGGTGGTGAAATTATAGGCACATGAAACTAGTCAACTTATATCTCAGGGTGAAGGGCGCAGTGGCAATGTCCCTTAGGTTTAAAGCTCTTAGTGGCACTGTAGCTGTAATGGTGTGTTGTTTAGCGTGACTTGTTCGCCCCGTCATTTGATATTATAAAAAAAATACAATTAGATATCTGCCAACATCAGTTTTATATAATTTAATGTTATAATCTAATTTATTATTAACTAATTACCAAACTCAGGAACCAAGAATTTATCTTCTAAAAACAATTTTCATTAATTTACAAAATCTCTTTTACAGCTTTTATTTATTAGAAATTTCTTTTACTTTAAAAAGTATCTTGTTAATTTTTTATAGTTTCCGGAAGTTTGATAAATTTTTATTGACATGGTGTATGGGCTAGAGAAATGCATATTTAATTTAGAATATGGTATAAGTGTGTGTCGGTGTGTACGTTAGAACTACATATTTGAGTTCCGCCTTCTTTCCATCATCGGGGGACTAGACGTAGGCTGGGGTTCCACCCCTATATTGTGGATATTCCCAGGATTCGCACGAAGCGTTTTGCGTCCTCTTTTATATGGCGAGCGGTTATAGAATGTAATTCCCTGCCTGCTGACTTATTCCCCGAATGCTACAACTTGGACCTTTTCAAGGAGAGAGTGAATAGGTTTTATTAAAAATAGAATCCTGAGCGTAGCGAGGGTTTCAAAGCACGAGACGCAAAACAACTTTGCTGCCGAGCGAAACTCACAAATTTTCACCTTTTAATTTTCACCTCACTATAGCGAAGAAAAGAAATACAGTTTAACTATAACAAATCTGTTTTAATAAACAAAATTAGTTATCGTTGCCAATTCAATATCAACAATAATAAGAATAAAATTATAGATACCAACGGATTTATATTACCTAAATAATGTACGACAATTTTTTTGAAAATTGAACGTGTCATTGTTTTTTTTTTCATCGAAAGAAAAAGTTAGGTGCACCACAGTCCGTCGTCAAGTTGGAATTTCAAAAACCTATTCCACGCTAGTGTGGAAAACGTATATCTATATGGAAAACTCGCTTTTGCTCGCAGATTTCTAATGAGAAAGAAAGCCTTACGGAGCTAGTGACGTGAAAAAAATATTTATTTGTCTCTGTTTCGAAACTTAACGGTTTATTTAATTCACCTTTAAAATATTTAATTATTTCTTAAAAAAGTCGATTCTGTTAACCAGGCAGTGGACATGGCCGCAGTTTTTTTACCAGCACTGGTTAAGTATGGTCACAAGGTCACTTTCTCCCACCATCTGGATGAGGCAAATTGGGCTATGATGCTGAAGCGCCCTTCAGAGTCTGCCACTGGATCCGGCCTTCTGGCGCCCTTTGATAGCTTTGTTTGGTAAATAATAATTAAATTTCCTAGTACCTATGATGAATGATCTACCAAACTTTACCTTCACAGCTTTTAGTCAATAGAAATAAAGCCCTGAATGAAGAGTACTCACTTGTTTTTTTTACTTTTTATTTTAATAGCGGATAGTAATTTTGCCAAAGAAAAGATTTAAGACATTAAAGATTTTAAAAGTGGATCAATAAAGGAAAAACAAAGCACCTAAAAGAAGACAATAAACGAAGTTTTTTGTTCTTAATCAATACCATGCTTTGTCTTCTTTTTCCACGTTTGCATGTACAAAACATTCCAGACTGAAAACATAGAATGCATTATAAATATAGCTAAACAGCTATACTAACGTGCTTTCATAAAGAGCGACGTTGTTTTAAAAATGTCAAATATTGTCGGGGATCGTGCAAATTCGCGTATGTAGTAATTGGTAAAAGGAACGTATCTGCACCAAACCAATTTTCACAGGGATTTAACGTTATTACTTTGTTATTTCAATGGCTACGACTTTAATTTTTGCACAGTAAGCATTAATTTATGTTGTCTACGGATTGATAACAATAGTTCCCGTAAATGATGCTAATTTGGTTGTCATTTACGCGGATTTGACTTGGCCACTAAATTACCAAAATGGAGACTCATAATCAAATGCTAGTTACTCGTAATTGCACTATCTCCGACGATATACAATAAAGTATAAGTTTCATGGATTTACGTGTGCACCCTTAGGTACTTAATTCTGGCGGCAGTGATATCCTACGTGCCCTGTATAACGTTGATAACTCATCTACGATCAAAGCTAGTTCGCGACCAAGAGAAACGTATACCGCTCTCTCCGAGTTTCTGGTTTGTGTACGCTGCCTTTATCAAGCAGGGAACCTCTTTAGCACCCGAAGCAAGTAAGTTGTTGTTTTCTGTATTTGTTCAAATGAACACGTCACCCTCATTATGATAGACATAACAAAAAGGTTACAAAACATAAATAATTAGGTTTGTCTGTTCTAAACTAGACTTCTAGACTTTGAGTGATTCTGAAGGATATCACTCTCTGTGCGAGTGCGGCCTAGAAGACGGTACCTTGGAACACATTTTTTTCAATTGTCCTAATATTGCTGTTCCACTTTATAACTAACTTTCTCCAAAATTCCCCCGCCCCATTAACATAAACAACCTCTTAACTTTAGTGTTCTCCCCCCATATTGTTACTCTATGTAAATTTATCCACTTAAATAACATATATTTATAAATATTGTTTTGCTGTTTTGTTTTACATTCTCAACTGAGTACTCCCGTAGTCCAACTTACCAACACCGGTTAATGCCCTATTAGAGCTTAGCGAAAATTTTTTTTTGTTTCGTTTTTTTTCTTTCAACTGTGACATTGGCAAAATCATCAGTTCTCATATTGATGGAGCCTTAGAATAATAACGCATAGAAGGATAGTTTCATATCAAACGAACTGTCACAAGTGAGGCAAAAACCAAATTCATGTAGGCGTAAGCAACTTGTAACTACGCTCGTCGGCACGCACACAAATATACAAATAATGATGCCATGGAATAACATTTCCCTCAAAAGTGGGGAAATTGTATCTTGCTTAACTCATCATTAAGTTAAAGGTCCCTACAGATTTGCCCGACAATGTCGATCAGGTGCCTACAGATATGCTCGGTTTTGTCGATGAAAAACGAATATAGCACTTATTTGTAAATCCAAGATGGCGGACACGATTTTTCAAAATATGCTATATGGGTATCCTTTTCGAGGTATTTGGGGATGCTCATTACGAATATGGCACTCATTTCTAAATCCAAGATGGCGGAC